CTACAGCCCACTTCTTCGAATGCATACAGAAGTGGGCTGTAGTCCACGAAAGCTTATGCTCTAATAAATTTGTTAGTCTCTAAGGTGCCACAAGTACTCCTGTTCTTAAGACGGAGAGTGGATGTGGATGGTGATGTAAGTTGTACACCAGGGAGTACGAAGTGGAGGGCAGCAGGGAAAGAGGAAGCAGGTATAAAAAGGGGGATGCAATGCTCCTCCAGTCAGTACTTCACTCCTTTCTCTGGCCTCCTCTGGTGAAATTCCACCCCTGGCAAACCTCCCATTGACTTCAGTGGGTCAGAATTTTACCCCTATCAGGTAAGTTACATTCATTTAGACTCTCTTGGCTCTACTTAGCACCCTCACTTCTGCCCAGCCCAACAACCGGTTTGGAGGCTTCAGACATCCAGCTGTGACTGGATGCCGAGAAATCAGCAATTCTGTGCCTCCACGCTCTGGGGAAGGATGTTGGGCTCAGGATTTTATTGTAAGCTGAGAGATGATGACGAAAGAGAGGCAGAGAGATAGAGAGAGAGCAGTTTGTTTCCGGTGTGATCCCAGTGAAGAGGGAGCATCTGCTGGGGGTCTTTACACAGGCACTTGCTACCTCTGCGGGGTGAAACCTACGAGCATCCAACGCAGTCATACATGAAAGAGGTGCAGAGGCTCATGTAATAGGAGGGATATGCCAGCAAGTGACTGACATGAGCAGAGTCTGAGAAGTCCACAGCTCTCACTGCAACATTGTGCTGCCGCCGGGCCTCAATCATGTGCTCTACGTCACTGGCCAGGATGATCCTGTCCCCCTTGGAGTAGAGGTAGAGCTCGGGCCACCTCGAAGGCCCATTCAGCAGGGCATCATAATGGGTCTCATGGAAGAAGCGAGTCACTGGATGCAGCAAGATCCGCAGCACCACCACCAGGATGGCGAAGACAAGCAGGAGGCCATACTTGAGCAGCACGTTAGTCGAGCCCAAGACAGCTGCCAAGGCACGCAGGCTCCCCACCATGTTTCTTCTGCCGGGGGCACTGTCAAAAATGGTGCCCACCACCTTGAGGCTGCTGAACTGCCTGTGCGTGTGGATGAGCTCTAGGATGTAGCGGTAAAGCATGACCCCGCCATTGCTGAACACGTGAAACAGCAGCGGTTTCTTTTCAATTTTATAGTCAAAGAGCAGCTCCAGCAGCTTCCTAGCTGGGGTCCGGAGGGACCTGATGCCAAAGGATTCTGCGAAAAACGTCATCTTCCATGGAGCTGTGTAGCGGATAACTGTGCACCCCTGGGAGGAACAGAGAGACACACCCATCGAGGGCTGCATGTTACAAGCTCCTTCAGGATCCCAATCTGCCACTGTGTTCATAGCACTTGCCCTAAAGGACAGAGCAATGGTCCCTCTTCCTGAATCAGAAATTGGCCAGTGCTGGCTCACCATTCGTGTATCTTTAGTAGAACATCATCCACAACATTGGTGAAGGAGGAGGAATTTCCTCCTGTCCCTGGCTGGGATCATTTGGGCACAGTACCATCAGGACCTGGTAATACTTACCCCAGCCAAGATCCCATAGAGAAGCCATTTGTATGGGTGGCCTACATCTAATCCTTTTTTGAAGCTTGCTAACCTCTAGCTATTTGATCAGATCGGGAGGGGTGAGGGGGTGTTGGTCACAGTAGATTCCACTTAATAGCCACCTTGATATTGACAACTTCTGGTTAATAGCAACATTTGGGTGGGAACCAATCCCGTCCCATTGACTTTAATGTTAACAGGATTTGGATATTGGTAATACCATGCTGCTTATTAAACAACATGTTTTAGAAGAAAGACCCCAACTGTAGGCAGGTTTGCAAGGTTGCAGCCAGGGAAGGAAGTGCTGGGACATACCGCCCCTCACTGCAGCCCTGCAAACCTGCCTCCAGCCAGCCCTCACCCTGCCCTTGTGCTTCCTTCTAGGACTGTAGCCCTGTAAACCAGCCTGTGCCCAGGGACAGCACAGGAGGTAAGGGGCTGTGGGCAGGGAAGGAGTGGGGGATGCAGCCCAGACGCCAGAGCTGCACAGTACCTCTACCTGCACCTAGGGAAGGAAGCACTAGGACATGCTGAGCCCCAACCCAGAGGGAGGTCAAGGAGAGTCACCATGCAACCCCACAGGCCCCCAGTGCCCGGCTCCCTGTAGAAAGCCCCAGCATCTGGGCTGCAGCCCCCGACCTGTGCTGCCCTGCACGCAAGCTTGCAGCCAGAGAAGGTCTAGCCCAGTGTTTCATTCCCTGGCTGCAGCCCTGCAAATCTGCTTTCCACTTATTACCAACTGATGGCTAATGGCAGCTTTTGCTGGTAACTGAGGAACTGTTCATAAGCGGAACCACGTACCTAAGCGCTTGTGCCGCTTGGCTATATAGCTAAGACCCCACAGTTAGATATATGCCTTGTGTTACTCCGAGTATTCTCTGTACTAATGGCAGGTTTTAATGATGGCAGGCACCCAGGTGCTGAAGCAATGGGCCCCCACAGAAGTTTCTAAATAAACGTGGGTGAAGCTAGTTGTATAAGTGCTCAATCTTTCACATTAGCTCAGCAAAGGCATTTACTGGCATTTCTGCTTGAGAAATGCAGAGAAAAGGCACGAACACAGCTATGTCCAGAGGGGATTGGGGAGAAGCGAGGAAGAAATCTTCACCTATTCTAGGAGATTTTAAATCATCTGGGTTTTGCATTCATTCTTCCTAGGGGAAGGAAGGTCCACCCATATCCCTATTAGAACCCTTCACTTCCCCTGGATTTCCTACCCTCGAGGGTCTGCATCCTGCCCATCATCCTTCTGGCCAGGGAAGACTTGCCAAGAGTCCCATGGCAGCATGTCAAAAACGCTCATTTGCCCAGCAGGGGTGACTGATGGCCGCCGGGCAATAAAAAGTACTGCATTACCCATCTTCTCCCACGGGCTGAGCATGCAACTTTCGCTGGGCTTCCCACCCACACATAGCATGAGGCTGGCAGGGGAGTTGGGGTCTCCCACATGGCATCGCAGAACATAAAGCCACGATAAATTATCAGGTGTACCCTCCCCATTCAGTTTCTGAGTCCATAACCACCCTATGGCTTCAGCTTCATTTGGAAAGATTCAAAAAGTTCATTTAAGAGATCTCAGAATTAGGGAAATAAAAACCATAATAATAAAAAACGCCAAGGTAACATAACCACTCAAATAACTGCAGCTAAGCACACCAAAAAACAAACCCTCCCGCATCTCGTCAACCCTCCAACACCTTATGATTTGAAACTTTCTCTCAAGGTCTGTATATCTGGGATAGTGGTTACACTGACCCTACGCAAGCACCACACCCACCGCTAGCATTTATAGTGATCAAGCCCTTAGGAAATAAAATCCGTGGGGCAAAGAGCTGTTTAATTTTTCCAACTAGAGATCAGCATGTGGCAGGTGCCGCCTAGCTGGGGCGTTCAGCCCACAGAGGAGAATAGGTACATGACATAAAAGAACTACAACCCTCATAAGGCACCGGGGTACCCCACATGAAAATCAAATGTTCTGGGTTTGGGTGTTTGAGGTAATAAACAACAAATCCACAGAAAGCAGATGCTTTTTGCAAAAAATTAGTCAAAAACTCCATTTTCCATTAAAATTGCAATGGAAATTTTTCTGCCAGACACAGTTGTGTGGCTTAATCCTTCTAAAGTGCTAAATATTCATGATATAAGGGTCAGAAGGAAGTTCATTCTCCATGGCTCATTCCATCCTTAGAGTCTCCACTAGGATTGCTTAAAAGGGAACTAGTTGTGACTAAATGAAACGGTGTATTTTCGAATGCAGACACCTGTCTTTCTGGCAACGGGATTGAGACACCAAATGCATTTCATGTAGGGTACTGAGCAGTTGCAGAATGCTGTGGCCAGTATCAACCGAGCTGTTATCAATCCTGACACATGGAGTCACAAGTCATTCTGTACTAGAACACACTTTAATTTATGTATCAGAGGGGTAGCCATGTTGGTCTGGATCTGTAAACAGCAACAAAGAGTCCTGTGGTACCTGATAGACTAACAGATGTATTGGAGCATGAGCTTTCGTGGGTGAATACCCACTTCGTCAGGCTTGGGTGAATACTCACTTCGTCAGACGCAGGGGTATTCACCCACGAAAGCTCATGCTCCAATACATCTGTTAGTCTATCAGGTGCCACAGGG